CCCTACAAGGCTGTGGTAACGTGAGCATTCCAGAGCTGAATTTCACTTTAATGAAAGGGAGAAGGGAAGATACCTTACCTACAGTTCTGTAATGTTAAACCTTTTGGAGTTCAACTCAAATTCATATAAAGATCCCTTCTCTGGCAGCTGTAAGAAGCATTTGGGCATAAATTGCAGCTGTTTCAGCTGGAGGATTACTTATGCTTTCCTTAAACATGAAAGAACCTCACTGTAACAGAGGACTGGATCTAGAGATATTTAGAAGAATTAAGTCAGCTGAAGGTGCAGGCAATTCAACTGGAAAAATAATTCTACTTGCTTCATTTTTTGTGTTGCTATCAGTCAGGCCGTTATGCTGCCTACAATTTGCATATTAAGATGTGACTGAGTTGGTGTTACAGCTAAATCTACTTGAGTCTTTGCAAAACCTTAACAGAACAAAGAAAAATGACAGACTTCTAATAGCAAGCAAAAAGGCCTGAGAGATCAGAAAAAACTGACTTAAGACATGTTAAAATGAGTCTTTTTAAGGCTTCTCTCCACAGACGACAGGTCTTTGTCTAGCCTCGTTTATTGCTGATGCTTATATTCTTCTACATAAATTTGCAGTACTGCATAGATAAACTAACCTGAAGCATCAGATTTAGCCTCTGATGGATGACTGAAGGCATCTGTAGCTGCAGAGGTTCGGCTGGGCCCAAGGAGAAGCGGAGGAGGCTGCTGAAGCCCTCCTAAGGCACCTCCTTTGGCGTCGCAGCGGTGCTTCAAAGTGGCTTTTCTACATTGATTCCAGTACTGATGCGTGAACAACTCACACCCAAAGGATTTTGGAGTATCACAAATCGTTGGACCCCAGGGTAAAATTTAAGAACACAGAATCTTTCTGAATGATGCCTGAGAGAACTTGCAGATGGATTTTTTTTTTTTTTTTTAAAACAAGGAAGACGTTTTCCTCAGTTATTTCCTCCTTCAGGCATGAAGGCGAATCACAGCACCTGTGCGGGTGTCAGAAGTCGCGTCAGTGGCTAGCAGAATTAGGAGTAACAGTATCAGAACATAAAATTCAGCTAGCTGTAGCCTTGCTCGGTCCTGACCCCCAAGTCTTCTGTCAAGACAGTTAAGAGAACTTTTCTCCTGGTCAGGAAACAGCACCAGAGAGCCGCGCGTTGAACATACTTGGCACTGTTTGAAAGCCACCTGTGTACACTTAACCGTGCCTCCTGCTGATGCCTTCGTTTGAACAAAAATACAAAGGAGAGCAAGGTTTTAGCTCCAAGTAAGCTAACCTACCACAGACGGGTAGGTACCCAATTTTAGGGTAATCTGAGGATTTGAACGCACCTATAGGTCTTTTCCTTGTTCAAACTTCCTACTTTGCATGAATCCAGGATTCGAAGCAGTTTTGGTCAGTGAGTCCTTCACTGGATTGCTGACATTGCTCAAAGACATCTCTGTGCTGCAGAAGCTGCACCACTGTCATGCTGAAAACAAGCTTCAGGGAAATTAAGTCATCTTTTTGGGTGAGATTCATTTGGTAAACTCAGGCACACTTGAACAGAAAAACACATAATGCTGTGCTATAAACTCCTTGACTTTACACTAGTATGTCTCATCCTTCACCCAAACAGTGGATAAAATAGGACTGCAAACATCTAGGGACAGGGGCAGCAAACAAAACGTTTCTGGCCAAGTGGACAGGAGAGACTTTCTTCCGTAAATGAAGCCAATACTCTACCTGGGTTTGTTGGTGGAAGTTGAGGACCTTCACATTAACCTGGGACATGACCAGTAAGCTTCTGATGAGAGCAGGAAGGAGGAGATACCGCTTCGCTCCATTACAGTCTGCCATATGATTTTCCATCTTAAGGAACTGCCAGCAGCTGCCAACACTCAGGCTGTCTTACAGAGCTGGAGCAGAGGCTGAGTTGGCAACCTTAGGTCATGCAGCATGGGAGCTCAGTCACTTCAGATTGCACACAGGTGGCTTTTTGTTTCCAGGGGAAGAAATATCAGGAGGATAGCCCCTGTATAGCACAAGATCACCACGGTCCTGTTCTGTACAGCCCCTCAGATTTCTCTAGAGAATACCCGCAGGTCTCCGGGTGTTTTTCTTAATCTGCCAGTAAGTCATGCACCAGGCTTACAAACAAACAAACATAATTACCTCAAGAAGTACTCATCGGATGAAGAGCAGTTTGATGTGCAAGGATTTTGAAGTGCAGTACAAAGTGAGAAGATGGTGATGGAGTTCTTTTGGTCCTCCTCATCCCTCCTGTACAGGGAAAAATACAACAAATAAGGGGAATTAGAAACCACCAAGACGCAGCAGGTAAGAACTTACAGGAGCTGCAGGAGGAAATAATGGCAGTTACTCTTCCTTAAGTCCTCATTCTTGTCACCCTCAGTGCTGGAAAAGGTACAATTGACAAGAACACCAGGTGGACATATACCTGCTCCACACTGCTATGTATATGTCCACATTATCAGTACCTATGCCTAAACTCATGCAGACTACGAGACTCATTGGCAGGCCGTGGTCCTCATGGGGCAACTTCAGCCATCCTGGTATCTACTGGAGGAACAACACAGAAAAGAGACAGCTCGGCGAGATCTCACCCATCAACGTGTATAAATACCTGAAGGAAGAGTGCAAAGAAGAGGGAGCCAGGCTCTTCTCAGTGGTGTCCAGAGGCAATGGGCACAAACTGAAACATGAGAGTTATCTCTCAACATCAGGAAACACTTACTGTGAGGGTGACCAAGCACTGGCACAGGTTGCCCAGGGAGGTTGTGGAGTCTCCCCTCCTTGGAGATACTCAAAAACCGTCCGAACCTGGTCCTCAGCAACCAGCTCCAGGTGGCCCTGCTTGAGCAGAGCGGGTGGGACTAGATGACCTCCAGAGGTCCCTTCCAACCTCAGCCATTCTGTGGAGAAAAAAACCAAAACAAAACAGAAAACCCATCACCAACCAAAAAACCCCTAACCAAACACCCCACCACTTGCATTC